ACGCGGTGAGCGGTGTTTTTTAAACGTTTATATGAAACGGTGCACCGTTTCATATGGACGTTTAAAAAACGTTTTTACGATACCATTAGAAAATGTTCGCAAAACGTTCTTGTGCCCACTGGGAAGAAGATATATTTACTAAATCAAATCATAATATTTTATAGTAATGTCTTGAGACTACCCAACGCCACAATTTTGGATAAAATATATTGCAAAAATATTTACTCAAGTAACATTTCTTTTACATTTTATTTCAACTAACGTATGTTTAGGTGCTGCATAAAAAAGCTATGAAACAAAACAAAATTTATCAAAAAAAACTACTTGAAGAAGCACTTTCTGCTTGGTTTGGTAATGCTCGAGATAAAGGCAAAGATGACCGAAAAGAAGGAATTTCAAAATGCAGCATCAAACACAGAAAAGAACATATAGAATTTACATAATGCAGTAGCAAACATGTAACGTAAAGAATACAGCAGCGAACACTTGTATATATATATATATATATATATATATATATATATATATATATATATATATATATATATATATATATATATATATATATATATATATATATATATATATATATATATATATATATATTTATATATATTTATAAAAATTATCATAATTAAATTTGTTTAAAATGAAAAAAATTGCAAAAAATAAATTGTCATTTATTTAATGTATAAAAAATCTAAGTTATACATATGAGAACATGCTTCTCCAAGACCAGCCATGCAGTTACAATGAGCATACAATATTTTACCACACTTTTCAGAAATTGTTATTGTTTCGCAGTGGAAGCTATTAAAGTTCCACCACTTATTTGGAACCATCAGGCCGTAATAGTCTTAAGAGAAGCACGAAATAGTTTATATAAGTGCAAGGAAGTGCAAGATAAATTATAATATTTGGACAGATGTCCAGAACTAAGAGTTGGTGTTTAAAAGAAGAGTACTACTCAGTAATTAAGTTTGAGTTAAGTAAGTGTTGTTCATGTTAGATTTAAGTACGTGTTGTTGCAGTGTTCTGTAAGTTATTATATTCGTGTTTGTACTGTTCTAAACGTTAAAGTTTTATGTGTCATTTAATGTCTTTATTGCTTTGAATCTGCATGTTCGTAAATAATGGTTCTTAGTCTCGCTCAGTCCAATCTTATTATTTTCTCTTTACATATCAGGTTCGCAACTAGAATAAGTGAGTATAGTCACTAGTGGAACATATTTAGACGTAAATGCCTTAGACAAAGGAAGTGATTGATTATATTAGAAAAAGTTATTGTTTTTACTTATTTCCAGTTTTGTTTAACTCAGTATAGGCTCAATTATAATTCATACCGCTTAGTGGAGTTGATCGTTTTAATGAATTTGTTTTATTTTATAAAAACATGCAACCTTATAATAAAATTATTTGTTTTAAATTTAGTTTATATACTCAATAATCAACAAACACAATAATTCTGTTTATTTACATGCAACCCGAATACCTTCAGCCACAGATAAAAACAAAAGAACATCTAAGTAAACCTATATGAAATTATAAGATAAATATTCAAAAACATATTACAAAAAATAAAACAATTATTAACAATTGCCATCGTTGTGGTAAGCATAATGTGATACACAATTAACCTAATATAACACAACTACTCAATTCTTTAGATAAAAAGTACAACTATAAAGCAGAAGTATTACAACAAACAACAAAAACAAACATCTAATACAAAGGGGAAACACGCGCATAATTGTTTAAAGAAAGAAAATAAAAATACATCAGCGTTAAAACAAAATTCAAAATTATGTACTATAATACCAGATTCTCGTCAGGAAATGGACATTGTATTGATCCTTATAAAGATTCAATACTCTGGTATTTGACGTTTCGAATGTTTTAATGCTTATTTATAGAAACTCCCGTCGGGGTAACATCCTCAAAACAAGCAAATAAAACCCACCTCTACGTCTGCGTCAAAGCCTTCTTATGTTGCAACATTTGAGAGGACATACTACTGCTCAGCCAAATACCCTAACTTGATCCATTTTAAACAAAGTACGCTAATATACTTTTTAGAAAATTATTAAACACGTTGCGCAAGAAGTAACATTAGAATACAAAAAACTTATAAGTTAAATTATTCCTAAGTACTCAAGTACAAATTAAAGGCAAACAAACACACAATAAAATAAAAAACATTTAAGATAAAAGACTTACCATAATTTGATATTGAATAAGAATAAGTCTTATGTTATACTACAAGACTTAGGTAGTAAAAAATAAAAAAATACATCCGGGAAAATTCTGGCGTCAATAGGGGAAAAAAGAAAAAGCAGCCAATAAATTTTTCTTTTTTTCTTAATTTGGTCCGTATGGTACCCAATTCCTGATCCCGCAGCCAAATCCCATACGGTTTGCATTTGACATTCCGTACGGGTCCCACACGGCACCTGCATCACAATGCTGGCTGGGATCTTTACTTTAACTATGAATAAAATTTATTATAGTTTATAATTATAGTTTAACGAAAAATCGCATAGTTTCCGAGCTTTTGGATAAATACAATTCGAACGAACTTTTATATGCAGCGAGTAAAAGTTTGAAAAAAAAATGAAAAATTTATAGAAGTAAAAGTTGTTAAAAAAAATATGCAACAAAGAATTATCAACAGGATTACTTACGTCAGAACAGTTCTTAGCGTTAGACTTAGTTGCTAATTTATCTAAAGAAACTTATCAGCATTTAAGAAATAATGCCCTTCAATTTAACTTTCTATACTCATGATATCATATAGTAGAAGAGGCTGAAAATAAATGCTACCAGGAATATATTCAGGTCAGTAACTACTCTGCAGAGGTACCATTACAAGATCTTCGTTTTCATACTGCATCAAGATTATGTTCAGCTTATAGTGTTGTGTTAAATTTGTCTGTGCTTAAAGGTTGTACTAGACTAATTGTAATATACAAAGCTGACTTTGATGGTGCAATAGGGAAATAACAGTCAGATGATACGAGTGAACTTAATGCTGATGAATCGCTTATCATAACTTGCTTTGTTCTTCTAGAACTATATTTTTTCAAAGATGAGAAAAAACAGGTTGTTCGGAGAAATCCGAAACCATCGTCAACTAGTTACCGTAGGCCTCTTAGATTTAAATATAGAAAAGAGTCAAAAAAGTAGTTCTTACAGCATATGAGTCAATTATGGCTTCTATTAAAAATATAACATCCGATGTATCTGTTTTATTGGAGGGCGGTACAATGAAGGAAGTTGTAATACAACATATTGTAAATATAACAATGACAGATGGAAAAATTCAAACTATTATTTCCACAGCTATTACCAATGCTGCTCCACTGCGCCAACTACTGCATGAGCCAAGAACAACAGAATACTCTACTTAAAATATAAACTTAAATAATACCCTTGTTGTTAATTTGTTGGGTGATTTAACGGATTTTTTTATAAATAGAAAAAATTGGTGTATTTAAATAATTTGCGTAATTATGTTATAAAATTTTAGTTTTTTCAAACAAGTTTTTTCAAAACAAATTTTATTTTTTCCGCAAATTGTGTTTTTCAATGTAATAAACTGTTTCTTTTAAAATAGGTTATAAAATTTTTGTTTTGGGAGTTTTGGCTAAAAAAATGTCACTTTTGATTCACTGTGCGTTCTGAACGTCTAAACGTTCTAAAAGTTCTAAACGTTCTGAACTTCTAAATGCTCTAAACGTTAAAAGACGATGCTTTAAAAATTTTTAAATTGTTGGGATCAAAAAGCTAGGTGAATTGTTCTGGTTAAACGACCATTTTTTATTACCAAATACTAGGTGGCACAATATACAAAAAATATTTGGCTTGCTGAGCTTGTAAAAGATCCATCATTGATAAAAAAATTATAAACTTATTTATAATTTCATTGTGGTACAATCTATAAGATTGAGAGCAGCGGTTGGCGCAGTGGTTCAAGTTCGAGCTCGCTCTAGCCCAATAAGCGACGTTTTGTAGTGAACTTTCTAGATAAGTGCTATTTTGCGGTGCTCTGTGATAAGACCGTAAGTACTTCTGTGAGCACCTTGATAACCTTAAATAAACCTTAATAACATTGATTCTTCATTTTAGTGACATGAAAAGGCACAAACTCGAAAAAAAGATCTTCTTCAATTGCTTGTATATAAACCGAAAGTTGTGAATTGCCTTGCCCAGTCTAAGATTTGAAGTAGTAGACGACGATAACCATTAATTTCTGTTGAACATGGAGCTAAAAAAATGTGGGTTTCTGCTGCAAATATACTTGAGCAATTTATGATGAAAAAAAAATTCAGTCATTTTTCTTCTTTTGTTGATAACAAATGATGTTGTAAGTATACAGGCGGCACTAGAATACAAAAGTTTTTTTTCAAAAATGTAAAATTCATTCATTTTTCAAGTCCAAGTGTTTATGACCAAATGTTGCATGATTTTTTTTATATTTTGATGTAACAACTAACTTTGAGTTATTAAAGTAAAAAAACTTTTTCTAATTACTTTATTACTTTTTACTGTCTCAGTAATTAATTTTTAATTACTGTAAAATACAGATACAGTAAAACATAAAGAAGAAACTAGAAAATGTTTTATTTCTTTCGCTAGTCTAGAGTTTTATCTATGAAAAGAAAATTTTTTGTTTTAGGTGCTTCCATTATTTTGTAGTTTGTACATTACGGCCTTAAATTATTATACGCTATTAAATGCTATTAATTTATAATTCTTTATGGTGTAACTGTTTTCAAATATTAGATAACTGCATATTGTTACCCTAAAGCAAAAAAATCTAAAAACCTAATTTAGGAGATGCAAAAGACTTTTTCGATCACTTTTTGTAATCTTAGAGAATATATGAAGCTATTATTAGTATTATTAACTGTTTTAATCTTTGTGTGGAAAATCATGCAATAAATAGGTTTACTCATTTTTAATCGCTTTAAATGTATTCAAAAGAAGCTATCAAGATACGTTTATACAAACAGTAATGGGAAAATTAAAAACTTCCAATGAGTATATTTAAATATGTTGAGTAATATCTAAAAGCAACTATAAACTAAACTATAAACGTATGTTTTTGATTGTTAATAGTTTATTATTTAAAATAAAAACATTTCATTACGTTGTTTGGCTATTTTTATATAATATTTAAATGAACTTTATTTGTAAATATTTGAATATTTCTTTCAAATTTGTTATGAAGACAACTTTTTATTAATTTTAAACGTTATGGGTATACTGAATACGTAAACATCAAGTTATTAGCGTAGCAAGGGTCATAAGCGCCCAGGGTCAAAATAGAAAAAAAGCGCCATTTTGTTGTAAAAAACAAATTAATATTATTATTATTTTTTTTTTTTTGTTACACATTTTTTTTGGCACCCTTTATTCGAGTAAAAGCTCCTTTGCCCCCTTTCGCTCTGTCTACACTACTGCATAAAGTTCAAACTTGATTCAGTCGCCTAATATTTTTACTTAAACACAAATTAAAATTGTCAATTAGAAATAAACTAAAATTTAAAATTGAGGTGTTTTTAAACTGTATTTGACTCTCTCTTTTCCTTTTTTAAAAATATTATTTTCTCTTTATGTGTTTTATTTAGGTTGTAAAAACTTATTTTATTTTAATCATTTCTTAAAAAATTTTTAACTTTTTTTAGAAACATATGTTATAAAATTAAAATTAAAGACTTATTTGTTGAAGATTTCGAGAAAGTTTCTGGAGATAAAACGAAATTAAAGTTATTTTCTGGAGATAGAATGAAATTAAAGTTATTTTCTGGAGATAAAATGAAATTAAAGTTGAAAATTTTCATATTTTCAGTTTTTGCTATGCACCTTACAAATGGTATTTTTTTTTTCTTGCTTTGATTATGGTTTTACAATGTTTTTTAATTTTTATGTAGTTAAGCATTGAATTCTAATAATGTTTTAGAATTACTACAAAATTTAGTTCTTTGTCTGTATCCCAGTTAACCAGGATCCTAATACGCAAAATACCCGGGGTCATTTAAGACGGATCTTAAATTTTTTGGTGCCTGAGGTATCTCTTATTTAGAGAATTAGAAAAGCTACTTGAGAAATAAGTTCAACCTTGTCAAATATTCTACTTAACTATTTAAAAATGAAGGTTTAAATTTTAAAAATTTGTAATCACAAACTGAAAATTTTTCGGTAGGAAAGTTCCAAAATAGTCTAATACTAGCCAGAAAACCAATGAAGATAACTAACTTTTAGATATGGAGCGAACTTTGAACATTTATATATTTATACATATGTCAGATATTAATGCTTTGCAAAAAAATGCGATGATTGGAGCCTGGTAATAAAAAAGATTTTTGACCCTTGCTCCAAATGCCAGAGCAACACGTTAATAAAACACTTTTTTAATCATTCTTAACTAAATATTTATTCATCAATAAATTTTAAATTTTATTCTACAACCTCATTCAAAAGTTATAACTATATAAGTTTTAATTATAACTATATAAATTTTGTTACAAACTGTATTTGGTTTAATCTATATTTGGTTATAATTTTTAAACGCAAAGAGATACTATACTATAAAGTTAAAGTTTATGAACAACGAGTTCAAACTAAGTTTAAAATAGTAGAAATTTTTATCAACTCGTTGCCTTCACGTTAGGGGCAGAGGGCGAAAACTTTAAATCTTTTTTGTTACCAGGCTCCTATCATCTTAGATTTTTGAAAAGCATTCTTATTTGACATAAGTATAATCATGTAAATGTTTAGAGTTTGCTCCATGTCTGGAAGTTAGTTATTCCGAATGGTTTTCTGGTTCTAATTGGACTTTTAGGAGAGTCTTCCGACCAAAAATCTTTAGTTTGTGATAATAGATTTTTGAAAACCTTTTTTTTTGAATAACTAATTAGAAGTGTTTGATGTTGTTGTTTGTATCTCTCAAGTAATTTTTATAACTCTCTGAATAAAAGATATGCATATGATATATATAGAATATAGTCATATGCATGACATAAATCAACATTTATCAAAAAAGTTGTATGCATCAAATAACTTACCCAAGTCAATATTGTCATCATAGAGCTTGTACAAAATGTGAGCTGAAACTTTTTTCTATCTTTTTTTTAAAAGTCATTTTTTATAAGTTCAGTTTTGCTGAAAGAAAGATTTAGTATTGAAAGATATTAGTATTGAAACACATAATGGCGTAAGGCGTAACTATAAATTTAGCCCTCTCCCTCCCCTCCTCCGTAAAAATATGACGGGGACCCTACCCTCTTAAAAATATTTTTATTACGTTTAAAAATAAAATATGCAGTATTATCTTTTTATATCTAGTTAATAAAACACAATTATGTAAATATAATAATAAAAAATAAATAAAAATAATATTTATTTTATAAATAAAAATGATATTTATTTTATAAACTAGAGTAAGATTTTAGAACATATACTTTATATAATTATAAAAAAAATAACAAACATTGAAATTTTGTTCGTAGGAAGCATACTTAATATCAAAAACTAACTTTATTTCACTTATAACTAAAAAATTAATTTTATCTCTCTTATGACTAGTTATTTCAGCTATACTATTTTACTTATGACTACGACAGAACTTTTAAATTCATAACAGCTAAACTGCCGTACTTATAAAATAGATAGTACCTCCAAAATTTCCATTCTGAAATATTCTTAAAAAATCATTATAATATACAGTCTGTTTGCTAAGTACTAAAATTATTATCTGCACTGTAAGCATGTTGGTAAGAAAGAAAACGAATACGGTCTTTATGCTTTGAAAGAATATATGTTATTGAAGTAAATTCCGGTCCTAAGTCATTTTTCATTTTATTTCACTTACTGTCTTTTTTGTAAGTAGGGCAGTATTCAATCTTTAGACTTGATTTCACCATAAATGAAAAATTGAGAATATCATAAGAAATTTTTCATTCAATAAACTATCATATATAAAAAATTTTCTTGCCTTCTTATTCGCAAATTCCGCAATTACTATATCTAAATCTAATGTTTCAGCTTTTTCGTTCTCTATTGACAAAACTGCACAACGTTTCCTAAAACATGCTATTTCTTATGCTTTGACTAATTATAATTTGTTGAAGGATCTTTCTGCACAAGCAACTGCAGAGAAAAAATAAATAAAATTTCTCAAACAAGGCTATAAAGTAAGGTATTCGGTAGCTAGCTCATTTTCAACCGGAAGCACCCAAATCCAAAATGAAATGAAATAAATAAACTCAAAGCTATAAAAAAAGTGCCATAAAAAATAAAATAAAATTAATTTACTGTTGTGATTATTAAAGGGTGGTGGTTGGTTTTTTAATTTTGTGCCAATTTTTATTTGACATTTTTATTAGTGATGTTAAAACAAAGGATAAGAAAACTACTCATTCGATTTATTTATTTTAGGTTTAGATGAGTCATTTATTAAAAGATTTTTAACAGTTTAAAGTAAATAATATCCATTGACATTAATCTTTATAAAGATTAACAAATCTCAATAGATATTATTCACACAAAACTGTATGAAATCTCTTATTAAACGGTGGTTAAATTTAACCACCTCAAAAAAAGTTGTAGATCTAAAATAAAGTGAAATACATAAACTTAAGCTCCAATAAAGTGCCAAAAAAAAAAAATTATAAAAATTAATTAAAGGTTGCCATTATGGTTTTTTTTTTTTATTTTGACAATTTTTATTTTACATTTGATACACACTGATTTTTTTTTTTTTTCTTTTTATTTAATTAACTGCAAAATATGCTGCTTCTTAACACAGTAACATAGCAATACCATATTTACAAACAACATGGTTTCTTCCCGACAAAAATTTTTAATGTTGGCAATATATATTGGCAGCATTGGCACATTTGCCATTATATGGTCCATTCTTTTTTATGGGTTCATATTGGTCCTATGCGGTGTGATCCATAAAGAGTGACATTTGTAAAATGTAAGACTATTTTTTGTCGTGCGAGTCTCAAATGTAGAACAATGTTCTTCATTTGTGAGAACACAAATCATTTTAAAAACCGCATCAGGTGTACAATTTAACAAATATTACTATTTGTTAAACTTCATTAAACGAATAGTAACATTCGTTTAATATTCGTTTAACATTCGTTAAATAAATAACACTATTTGTTTAACAAACAGTAATATTCATTTAACCAATAGTACAATTTGTCAGAGTTAGGATTGACAGTTTTCAATATTAAACAAGTTAGGGCATTTAATTACTTTTTAATTTGGCCACGGGATCTATGTGGGGATCATACGGGCCAAATAAAAAAAAAAATTATTGACTGCTTTTTCTTTTTCCCGTATTGACCCCAGATTTTTCCTGGATATATTTTTTTATTTTTTACAATGTATAACTTAGATTTTTTATACCTTAAATTAACGGCAATTTGTTTAAAAGCAATTTTTTTCATTTTAAACAAATGAAATGATCAATTTAATTATGATAGTTTTTTATAAAAGTTTCTAAAAGCTAAAATATACGTTAGTTGAAATAAATTGCTAAAGAAATGTTACTAAAGTAAACTTCTTTTGAAATATATTTTATCCAAAATTATGACATTTGCTAGTTTCAATATATTACTTTAATATAATATGATTTGATTTAGTAGGTATAACTTCTTGATTTAGTAGGTATATACTGATTATATATTTGATAATAATTTGTTTAATTTAATAAAGCTCATGTATATGTCATTGTGTTTTCAATTTGCATATAAATCATTTAACTTTTAAAACTTTTACATCATAATAAAATTGATCATCTTATTTATTTGAAATGAAATAAATTGCTTTAAACGAATTGTTGTTAACTTAAGGTATAAAAAATCTAAGTTAAACATAGTGAAAAGTATATCCGGGGGTTAATACAGGAAAAAAAAAAGCAGCTAATTAATTTTTTTGTTTTTTTTTTTTAATTTGGCCCGTATGGTCTTAAAATATAGATCTCGCCGCTAAATTAAAAAGATATTAAATGCTCTAACTTGTTTAACACTGAAAATGGTCAACCCTAACCCTGACAAATTGTACTATTGGTTAAATGAATATTACTGTTTGTTAAATACGTTGTATGTATGAATACGTTTTCTGTAAAAGCCATTTAAAAACGCATTGTTTTGTTTTAAAATTTAATTAAAATAACTTTCTGTTATTTATTATATTATTACTAAAATAAAAAATAAAAAGTATTTCATAACAAATTCCCATTTGGTACTTTTATTGTTTCATTGGGCATGTTTTATGAGGACCAGCATGAAAAAAGTCTCATTTATACCAGTTTCACATACAGAAGACAATACAAATAAAACATTCTAAAATTTTGCCAGAAATTCTCAAAAGAAATATTTTTTTAATATCTAAAGTTATTTTTTTTCCCATTGAATTTAATTTTTCTTTGACACCAACACGACACAATTGTTAAAATACATTAACTATTGCTTGGCTAGGTTTTTTATCACTATGTGGCAAACGATCGAGGAAAATACTTACATTTAATATGTAAATACCATATTTTTTACTAAGTTGCTGATTACCTTATGTTCTGACGAATATAATTTTTATAAGTAAATAGTAAAAAGATAACAAAGAAGGAGAGCTTTTTTGTTATTGTCTGTATTTTTTTGAAACAAAAGGATTTTGAATGATCAAGCGCGGTGGTGGAGTTCTAATTTACGTTCATGAAAATATTAGGCATTGTTCTAGAAATGATCTTTGTGTTTCTGACGGCGATGGAGAAATATTAACAATTGAGATTATTAATGAACGAACAAACATTTTAATTAGCTGTTGTTATTGACCGCCAGATGGTGTGAGCGAGAACTTCAG